GTCCAGGAACAGTATGCTGTCCTGCGATATTATTTATTTTTAATAGTGTCTGGCAATGCAAATACAGATCTGGAAGAATCAGCATCCTTATAGATGTGCCAGACCTTCCTGTGTTTCTTCCTGGATCCTGCATATCCCTATGCAACACACCTTCCAGTGCACCGACTCCACTTATCTCCACACAAGCACAGAGGGAAGTCTGCCCTTACGTTGTATGTTGCAGGCACAGGACTGTAAAACCAAAACCGTACAGCGCAAGTAACAGCCAAGGAACGACATTCAGTTCCAGACAGTGCCGTTCCACGGCCTCGCTACGACGTGCATCTCCAGAGCAGCAAAGGGAATTAAACGGCCATCACTGCAGGAGAGCCTGGCTGAGGCCTGCAGAGCTAGGTCAAGGTTTTTCTTCTCTTGGAATTGTGTCACCAAAAGACAAAAATAATGAAGAAGTAATAGCCTTTTTATGATCAACAGTTTTGTACACCTAAAAAGCAAATACTGTCATTTAAGAACTGCAGTAGCAATCTAAACTGAGAAGCATTTTCGTATCACATTAATATAGGTTACAGATGGACAGGAAGCTTAAAGAGTATCTTCTTTTTGTGTTTTAAGATACCAACTTTAATAATCACAGTCCATTTTTTAAAAGCCAAATAGAGGAAAGAAGTAGTAGCAATAATAAACAGAAGGAAAACATACAAAGTATATGACATCTAATACATTTAGAATCCTCTTTGTGAGAGCCAGTAAAATTCAAAGGTATGTTGTTTTGCTGTATCTGTTGGCTCTGCATTCCACAGAAGTGGAAGATACGAGAGATAAAAGAGAAGTTAATATAAATGTTATTTCTGAGAAAGAGCGGGGCATTAACAGTCAGGCTTAACTGGGCTCACAGTCAGGGTTATTCTCTGCAAAAAACCAGGAGAATCACAAAGAATCCCAACAACTAACTTACAGATGGAGTCTGGTTATACTTTTTGTTTAAGAAGATTTTACATTGAAATTCTTATTCTTCCCCAGATGCCATGCTCCAGCTAAGTCGCAACTTACTGGAAGAGCTACAAGATAAAGCTTTCCTACACAGTTCAAAACTAAGCAAATCTGAATGGTCCCTTCTAGCCTTTTATGAATCTTTTCATAAATTCATAATGTAAAATGCCGGCACGTTACAAAAGCAGGCACTAGAAGACAAAATCAAGCGAAGGTAGCAGGAGGCCTGTGTGATGAATGCAGAGCTCCTAGGGAAACTGAAACACAAGAAGGAAGCATACGTGAAGTGGAAGCAGAGTCAGGTCACCCAGCAAGAATGTGGGGACACTGTCCAAGTGCACAGAGATGGAGTTAGGAAAGGTGAAGCCCACCTGGTGACTGACCTAGGGCAACAAGAAAAGGTTCTACACAGAGATCAGGAGCAAAAAGAAAACTAGGGAAAATGCAGGCCCACTGCCAAATGGGGCAGAGCAACAGGTGACAAGGGGCACGGAAAAGGCTAAGGCACTCAATGCCTTCTTTCCTTCAATCTTTACTGGTAATATTTTCCACATCATAGGTCCCTGAGACCACCGGGAAAGTCTGGACCAAGGAAGACTTACCCTCAGTGGAGGAGGATCAGATTAGGGAACATTTAAACAAACCAGATAGACACAAGTCCCTGGACCTTGACGGGATGCACTCATGAATGCCAACGGAAGTTGGCCAGTGTCACTCTGAGGCCACTCAATAATACATGCAAGGTCATGGTAATCAGGAGATGTTCCTTATAATGGGAAGAACGCAAATATTGTTCGTGTCTTCAAAAAGGGCAAGCAGGAAGAGGATCAAGGAACTAAAGGCCAGGCAGCCAGACCTCACTCCCTGGGAAGGTAATGAGCCAAGAAGTCTGGAAACCACTTCCAAACATAACAAGGACAAGGAGGTGACTGACAGTAGTCAACATGGATTTACAAAGGGGAAAATCATGCCTGATTAAACTGTTAGCCTTCTATGACAAGATGACTGGCTTGGTGGATGATGGGAGGGCAGTTGATGTTGTTTACCTTGATTCTAGCAAGGCTTTTGAAACTCTCTCCTGTTACACCCTCACAGACAGAGGAAGTATAAGGTAGATTAACGGACAGTGAGGTAGACTGAACTGCTTGGATCAATGTTGACTAAGTTGGCTGAACTGCCTGGATCAAAAGGTTGTGCTCAGTGGCAGGAAGTCCAGCTGGAGGCCCATCACTAGCAGTGCTCCCCCCAGGGTCAGTACTGAGGCCAGTCCTGCTTAACATAGAATTACAGAATAGTTTGGGTTGGAAGGGACCTTTAAAGGTCACCTAGTACACCCCCTGCAATAAGCAGGGACATCTACCACTAGATCAGGTTGCTCAGAGCCCCGTCCAATCTGGCCTTGAATGTTTCCAGGGATGGGGCATCTACCACCTCTCTGGGCAACCTGTGCCAGTGTTTCACCACCCTCATTGTAAAAAATTTCTTCCCTATATCCAGTCTAAATCTACCCTCTTTTTAGTTTAAAACCATTACCCTTTGTTTTATCACAACTGGGCCTCCTAAAAAGTTTGTCCTCATCTTTCTTAAAAGCCTCCTTTAGGTACTGAAAGTCCACAGTAAGGTACGTCCAGAGCTTTCTCTTCTCCAGGCTGAACAACACCAACTCTCTCAGCCTTTCCTCACAGAAGAGGTGTTCCAGCCCTTGGATCATTTTTGTGGCCTCCTCTGGCCCCACTCCAACAGGTCTGCGTCTTTCCTAGGCTGAGGGCTCCAGAGCTGGATGCAGGACTCCAGGTGGGGTCTCACCAGGGCAGACTAGAGGGACAGAATCCCCTCCCTTGACCTGCTGGCCACAATTCTCTTGATGCAGCCCTGGGATACAATTGGCTTTCTGGGCTGAAATATCTTCGTTACTGACCTGGATGATGGGACAGAGTGCACCCTCAGCAAGTCAGCAAATGATACAAAACTGAGAGGAAAGTTCATACACCACATGATTGTGCTGCCATTCAGCAAGACCTCCAGTGGCTGGAGAAATGCGCTGACAGGAACCCACCAAAGTTCAAGAAAATCCTGCACCTGAGAAGGAACAATGCCATGCACCAGTACAGGCTGGGGGCTGACTAGCTTGGCAGAAAAGGACCTGGAAGTCCTGATGGACAAGTTGAACATGAGCAACGTGCCCTTGCAGCAAAGATGACCAAAAGCCTCCTGCATTAGGCAGAGGTTTGCCAGCACCTTGAGGGAGGTGATCCTTCCCCTCTTCTCAGCTCTGGTGAGACACACCTGGCGTGCTGTGTCCAGCGCTGGACTTCCCAGTGAAAGAGAGACACTGAAGCAAATTCAATGAAGCTCCTTGAAACTAATCACGGGACTGGAGCATTTGATACAAGAGGAGAAACTGAGACAGCCAGGATTATTTAACTTGGAAAATGCTCATGGTGCATCTTATCAATGCGCATAAATACTTAATGCAGGCAGCAAAGAAGACAGAACCAGATATTTCTAAGTGGTGACCAGTGAAAGGATAAGAGGCAACGGGCAAAAAGTGAGACACAGGAATTTCCATTTCAACATCAGAAAAACTTATGTTGCTGTAAGGGAGATTGAACCCTGGAACAGGTTGCCCAGAGAGGCTGTGGTGTCTCCATCCTTGGAGATACTCAAAACCCAACTGCACAAGCTCCTGAGCAGCCTGTCCAGTTTGACCCTGCTTTGTGCAGGGGGGTTGGACTACACAGTCTCCAGAAGTTCCCTCCAATCTCTGTTAAAAGAGAGTCTGTTAACAGGCTTTAAAAAGTTATTTTCATTCAGTGGACTCCCTTCTGACATCTTTCACAGCTGTTTAACTCGGGTGCCTACTAGTTTGGACTTGTGAGTTACCTGTGCTCCTCTCAGCCACCTCTCACTCAGATTTGTCACTAAAAATCCACAGTCCTTCCTCTTCATCAAAGCTGTCCCAGACTTGGAGACTTCAGAGACTCTTTAAATTTACATGCATATGATGTAAAGGACGTACACTTTTCAATTTCACAGAAAACATTCAGAAATCTGGCTCAGAAAGGTATTTCAATACAGAAATAATCCCAGTGACTTATCTTTTTAAATTTAGCAATGAGCTTTAGTACTTTGCAGAACTGGACTTTCAACACTTAGGGACCAAACCTGAACTTGCTGTGGTCCTTGAACACTTCCCCAAACCAGTGTGAGCACTAGGACTCAATGGGGCTCAGAGTCCCTCTCAGGTCAGACTTTCACCCCAAAATACCACACCTATAGGTTGATAGTACACATAGTACACACATACCATACCTATATGTATATATCATACCTACATATGTTCCATACATGTAGGTGTGGTACAAATCTACACCCTGCCTCCCCAATCACATATATATGTATATAACACATACACATCTATATACATATATTCTCTTCAGAACAGCACAGAAAGATACTACTCTTACAGCAGGTTGCGTGCAGAGTGCCTTAGCAACAGTGTCTCAGACCAGTATTGGTAAGCCATGGAAAAATTTTCATATTAGAGAAATTTGAAGCTGAGGGCTCAAGTCAAGCAGAGACCTGCCTCTGAACTCAGCAGTGGTTTCATTGTCAGTATCTAAACTCTCCAAGTAGCCACAGTACGAGCTGTGGCAAAGCAGCACCACAATCAACTACCAGGGAAGCAGGGAATTAAAAATCACAGCAGGGTCTTTCTGGTGTACTCAAATGTGGAAACCAAGGCCATCCTGCATCAACGTACTATACAGATCTTGAATGACTATCTTTTCTTTTTGCTTGAAAAAAGCCACAGACAAAACCATCATACAAAAAAAACCCAGATAACATTTATCATCACAGAACAACTGCTGTGTAAAATGTCATTATTTTTACTACACAAGGTGAGATAAATTTTATTCTGCTATCAAATGATAAGTATGTATAGCTTTCCATAATGGTTTACTAGGAAAAACGATTGTGAAATCAAAACAATAGTAAAAGCGGCACACCTTTAAGCCTTTCAACATCTGATATACCAGGAACTGGATTCGGTCTTCAGTTAGTTTCTCATGCTTCATTATTTTACTCAAGTCTGTTCCCATAAATGGCATGACAAGGTAGCTGGAAAAAAAAAAAAAAGAAGAAAGAAAAAAGGACAGAATAACTTTGTCAAATAAATTGAAACATAACTGTATGTTATAGTTCAGTGACAACATTACATTACAGATCATTCCATTTATCAAACAATTCCATCATCATACCCCTGCCCTCCAAGTTTCTCCATTTTTATCTGTTTTGATTGTCATAAAGAGGTGTCACCCAACGCTGTCATTGATTATGGAAAGTTGCTAGTTATCAGAAGAATGCAGGTTCTGCACTAGTTAGAAAGAAACCAACCAAGAGCCCCATGATATTTCAAAGACACCTAGACAGGAAACTAAGACATTCATGCAATGCTATGCATCTCGCAATCATGATTATAGCATTGAACTAGCAGCAACCAAACCACCTAGATGGTTCCTTCGAACAGACAAGGTCAGGTGTAACAGAAACAGAGCTGATCAAATTAGGAGGCAACAATAACTTCCATTAATTTTCATCTGGGATCACAAACTGGGATCTTCAGTACTTAGTACTGATAAGGGACACCAGGAACAGAAAGCTTGAGAATGCCCAGCTGGCATTTCAAGGCTAATGTTCACTTCAGATCCAAAACCAGACCACTGGACTGGGAAACCAGCCAGGGAGTACAACAAACCTCAGTGCAGGTAACCACTAAAAGATTCAGCAGCGTCAGCAGTCGAATTAATCCTTGAATTAGGATGGATCACATGGGAGACATGTCGTGTAGCAGGCATCATTTTCAGCGTACTTGTCTGGGTTAAGAATTGTCCTATCATTTGGGCAACCTGGGCCTTAGGGTAAGGAATCAGTACTTGAAAGGTGGATTAGGGAATCAACCAAGCTGCCACTTAGTAAGGGCTGAAAGAAGTACACACCTTATAAGATAGGTAACTGGTTCTAATGGCAATCTGAAAAGCCCAGCCTACCAATTTTGAAGTTGCACATAAGAGTTAGATTAAGATGAAATTCAGAAAAAAAAAAAATCCATGAAGCAACATTTTTGGAATTCTTCATTTAAAAAAGCAACAGTCCTTCCTCCTGCCCAAACAATGATGCCCTGCTCCAAAACACAAACAACTCAGAACTTACAAGTCATTAAACTTCTCCAGTGTTACATCTGGTGTGAACACATCCAATATTCCAATGACCTAAAAATAAGGGAGGGGAGAGAGAAAGACACACCATGGATTAACACTGATTTAACACAAAAAACCCAGAACTCCACAGTAAGTGAAAAGACGTAATAAAAAACTTTTCCATAGTGAGACATTAGCTACAGGTATAAAGATGGCAGAAAGAATATCTAAAGTAGTGCTTAGCAACACCAGGATTTGTTAATGTTTAATTTTCTAACTCTGAGGGCTGTTTGACCCTATGATAAAAAATAAAAAAATGTATTTACTTGAACAAAAGTTCAGAGGCTAAGAGTTTTATGTAAGAGGAGACAGCAGCTTTAACGTGAATCACTGAAGTGTGGAAAATAAACCACACAATCTGTTTATAACCTGAAGTATTCATAAGTGCTGTTCACCTAGCCGGGCCTGCTGCTTGTCCACAAAGAACACTTTAAACGTCTTCTAATTTCAGCTACAGGGTAAATTAGGTACATAGACTATCATATCTAATGGGTAGCACAGAGAAGAAACTAGAAATAATTTTTAAAGAGTAAATTATCAAAAGCTTAATATAATTTACACCTTACTGAGCTTACACCTTAGGTTCTCCCCAAGAGTATTTTTTGTCAAACAAAAGCACTCTATCACTCAACAGAGAAATAACAATCTAGTAAAACAGTTTTCCCACCACAGTTTTTCCTACTAGTATGGTTTTCAGCAGAACTGTACCAACTGACTAGATGCATTTTGGTAACTGCCAATGCTTCTCTCAAGCCCTTTAAACACCAGAAAACTAAACATACAGAACTTGATGCTCCCAAAGATGTAGCTGGAATTGTCAAAGCCAGATGTCAGCTTGGATGCTGCTTAATCCAGGCAGTGCCTAAACAGCACAGGCTTTTAGAGTTGCTTCTTCTCTACTCTTACTACTAATCCACGACCACTTCTGTCTGCTCAGAGAAAGCCTCCCAAGCCCTGAACCACTCGCAGTGTTTCCCAGGAGCAGGCTGCTGCATCGATAGCAGCAAGCAGGGGTTTGCTAGCTAAAAGACCAATAACCTGTAGAACCTTGTTCAGACCTATCTCCACAGCCATACAATTTAAGGACACCAGACTCTACATCAAACTAAAACTGTATAAAGTTAGAAACTGCAAGAAAGAAACCAGGGGCAATGGCATATTACCTTGCCTGTTGTTACCATGAAAGCACTAAAAGAAGGACTGAAAAAAACACTTTGATAACAAGAAAGATAGATTGTGGACATTACTACTATGTCTTTCTTAATCAGGCCACAAAACTGAGTTCTTTAAAAAAAGTACGTGAAAGTAGAGAGAAGCGAAAGCAGAAATGCAGGAAAAAATACAAGAAAAGAAAGACAACTTCCTTTACTTAAAGCTTTAAATAAAAGTCTCCAACTGTGATGAAATCCCTACTGCATGTATTTTTATCTTTTCCACATTCAGGGGGAACTACTACAGTTAGCCCGGATATTATCACAATGTCATAATGATGAACATGATAGAAAAACTAATAAAGGTGAAGACAGAAAATTAAAACACTTCTTCTTTGTAGCCACCTATACCTTCGAAAAGAATCACTAATAATATTTTCCCAAGGACTGTTATATGAAATAAATTAAATAATAATATAACTACCATAAAATAATAATTAAACCCACAGAGGATGTAATTATTATTTGAAGTAATGCCTTCGTGCTATCATTACAGCAAGAATATTTTTTTTTTGCATGACAGATTTACATAAGGTTTTTCATTTCTGCGTGGAGGCAGGGAGAGAAAGGGAGGAGAGGGGAACTGGGAAGATGTGTGTGGCAACAGTGCAGCACAATGCAGCTCTACGGACACGCACACACGCACACACACACGCATGCACACACACGCGCGCACACACACACACACGCAGCATACACAGCCAGAAAAGTTGTGTGCTCTTCATGGATTTCAGTATTAAAAGGAAATAGTTAACATTTTAACAGTGGTCTTATCCAATATGCACTTCCTTCCCTACTAAGCCCCACTTCTGAAGAAGTCCTGCTTGCTCTCCTCAAGAAGGTATTTCCATGCCTTCATTGACCAAAGCAAGAAACGTAAGCAAAGAAACCCTGTCACATCGGAATGTAGCAGTGAAAGACACAGGGACACCATCACAAAAAGAAGGCAGACAGCAGAGGATGAACCAGTGTGGCCGCTGCACCACATCCATCAGTGGACCAAGGCATCATCAGGCAAATGCAGGAGCATGGAGAATGCATTTCCATAAAGAACACAGCAGCCCAAAGCCACACTTCATAAAATTCACTAACATTTTATTACTTCTCCACTCAAGTAAACAGAGTTCCCAGTAGTTACTTAATGCTGCCTGAGATATATCTGCATTACTTCTGAGGTAAGGCTGCAAACTAATGGAGACAGTGATGCAAATCCTCTGCAGTGAAGAATACCACCCAGAGCAACACTCAGCTCCCGCTGAAGTGAATTTTAAATAATAAACCAGAAAATGTTTTCAACATGCCAAAGACTTCACAATACTTCTTGTCTTCTTCTTACTTCAGCTTTCTAAAAATCCTGAAACCCATTTCAGTGTCCAAAGTATTAAGACATACTAATAGTTAATTAATTTAAAAATAAAAGTGAGGGACCCATTTCCTTTTCCTGTCATCTTTATTTAATAGCTGTGCTTTGGGATGATTTTCCTGTACTGGAACAGAGTCATTAGTATTTCCATTTAGGTCACAGCCTTCCGCAGGTATGTTAAGCACAAGGAGGTAGAGGATAAAATGAATCCTCCGAGGAAGATGCAAGTCCAGCTACTTCTTCAGGAAAAGGAAAAGAACTGGACAAAGTGTAGGAAACTCCCTCCTCCATAATATCACGGAAAACCCTGTGTCTGTCTAAAATGTTCTCAATTACATGCAGTATTTGTAAAAAAACCTTTACGATATTTAAAGATAATGTCCCAGCACAAAAGTAAGCCACCGTAAAACAATTACAAGAATCGTTTATTTTTAACAGTATGGCCTATACAAAATGTAACGGCAGCATCTGTGAACCCTTCTGTAGGTGCACTTTTGCTGTTAATTCAGCACACTTACTGACACTATCAGAGATGGAAGCACAGCCCAGGAACAAACCCAGTACACTCTGCGATGGCAACGAAAAGCATCTGCGGAAACCAGCAGCAGCACTAGCCTTTCAGGGTCTCACCTTTTCCCCACTAACTCTGCCAAAAGGCAATTTCTCCAATGAATGCACCTTGTTTCCTACTGCCCATCTGACTGGTAACCAACCAGCATTTCTGCAGCCTCCACCGGAGCGCCTTCCTTGCTTGTATCTCAAGGAGAGAGTGTGATACTGTGTCTCTCCCATCTTCCTGCAAAGCAAAACCACAGTAACAGCAAAATTATCCGTCTACTGGTCTAACTGGTTTTCCACACGTATGCTTTTACTCACTATATTTACTTTGCTGATTGTGTCTCTGCCCTATGAAGCCAGTGGGGGGTTGGGGGGTGGCAGTGTCTCCAGCCTTTCTAAGCCCCATCGTCCAACCCCCCCACCCAAGACATTTGTACTGACCACCCTGACCAACTTTAACTACAGCCAACAAATAAGTAACAGCTTGGTGTTGATAAGGTGGTTTCTGCCATTCCCTTCTTAGCTGCCTCCTGTTCCAAACATTATTCCAGCAGTGGAGCACAACAGCGAAGAGCTCCTCATCCCCATCCTTCCCTGCACTTTCACCTATTGGATTACTTTTACCCAAGGACTGTTCCACTGCATTTCTGTAAAGGAGAGTTTCCGATGCGAGCAGCAGCACGTCAACAAAAGACTCAGATCTTGTATAAATTAATAAGTAATGTAGGTTATGTTTCTTATACAGTAAGTGCTGCTTTCTCTTGCGGATATTACGCATGAAAACACAGTGAAGTTGAGTGGATTTGGCACTCGGGCTACAAAGGCAAGTACGTTTTTTTAAGAGAGATCCCTGCTGGAGTTCACTGAACTACATATTATGCTGCATTAAATTTTCTGCAGGGTTAGCTTCAACTCCATGTTCCTGTGCTGTTCCACATCACAGAACACCTGCATCCTTCTACTACACTAAAAAGTCTCAATCTTTTTAGAATTTTAACTTTTTTAGAATTTTAACTATCCACGCACAAGGCACAGTCATCTTTCTTCCTCACCAATCACTGCTACGTGACACGAGGGAAGCCTGCTGATGGACTGAGAGCTCCCTGCCTTTTCTCCTGCCAGCCGGCACACGCCGTACCCCTGAGCCTCAGCACATTCTTCTTTCAAAGGACCCATATATCACACTGGACAGATCCAAATCCTGCAGGCAGACACATCTTCATCTCCAGACTGGATAGCAAGCCAGAGAGAAGGTTTGGGTTTCAGTGCTGTCTTCCTCATTTTCGTTTACTGGACTAAGATAAGCAGTCTGCTTTATTAGCACCCAAGGCTGCAGTGTACCTATGTGGCTATCAGCTGAAACCCAGCCCAGGCGAAACACCTATTAGGCAGGTTTGTGAAAATAAGCAGAAGTGACAACCGATACCACTATGTTGATTTATTGGCTTTTGAGCACCAAGATAAGTGACTCCGGTGTCCTGTGAGCTCCCTACCTGTGCTAAGCTCTCAGCATGCAGAAAAGCAGCCAGGAGTGTTTCTCCCCTACAACCTTTAGACGGCAATAAACTATGCAGTCTTAACTGTATTTTTTCTGTCATAAGGACTCACAAGGAGATTTGCCATCTCCAGCCAGGATTCCCACATTGCACTTTACTGGCACTTGTTTACCCAAAGGATGTGAATTTTTAGCTGGTGCAGCCCTGCAGGACTTGCTGTGGGAAACCTCTCCCAACACAGCGAGCGTGCTTTCCTCTGTAAAGGCATCACTCATCCCCAGCTCCCTTGTCAGTCTGATTTTGTACACTGCAGAGGCTGTTGCTCTTCCAATGCTCACGTCAGGCTGGATGAACCGCAAAAGGTGACAGTTTTAAGATTTTCTCAGGCAGGAACACAGAGTGCCCCTCTATTTTCTCTGGAACAAACTCCTCCCTTGGTTGACACTGTGTAGGCGTAAATAAAAAGTCCAACATTTTTTCAAAATTAAGAATTCAATCGAATTAAATATGAGCCAACCTAAAAAGTGCAGGCCTGCATCATCCTTAGAAATGTAACTGCAGAGACAGACAGTTTGGTGTCTGTTGGATACCCGAGTTCCTTCCAAAAGAGGAAAAAAATGCTACATGGTTCTCATAATGCAAAACACACACTGGTCTTCAGATGTGGGAATACACCAGAGAATAATTTCCACTCAGAGCAACGAATGAGAGCATAATATAGAGTACCTTTAAATACTGCAGTTGCCTCTTACACATAGGGTTTCCAGGAAAACATCTGTGGAATATTAACTGACCCAAGAAACGTTTACCGGGCATTTGTCAAAAATTTTATGCCAGAAACACACTCAGAACTTCAGCTGGTACAATTGCGTCAGAATTCCCGTGGGTGCTTATATGTAGACATAGGTATACACACACGTACACACACACGCACGTACCACACTTGGGTAAAATCCACACTCTGTTCTGACACCAGGCATTAGCAAGAGCTGCTGCTTTTCTCTCCCTCTCTCCAGTGCCATCTCCCCTCGCCAGCTGTTTTGCACTGCTGCTGGCAACTTCAAAACTTCTCTTAGGCAACTGGGAGGCGAGAAAGGCACCAGGACTGGACCAGTATGAGCCACTGTGCAGTCGTTTCAACAAAAGTGGGTATCATGGTGTCACTTCCAGTCCAAATCCATACTAAAATCCAAGTTATTTGCCAAATATAACTAAAGGTTCTGCACCTCTGCTTACTTGTCTGGGTTCAGCTTTGCATACACAGACATCTCCATTAACTTCAGAAGAACACACACACGCAGAGCTATGAAAATGTTTGAGAGCCAAAGCCAGGGCCAAAGTTAGCACGCTGGTCATGTTTTCACTGGTTTTAGTTTTAAGTCAGAGCCATAACAGATAGCTTTAAGGGTCCTCAGTTTAGCTGATCTCAAAATGGAAAAAAACAGGGAACAAAAGCAGCATTACTGGGAAAAACTTCCTCAAGGTAAACAGTCTATGTTCTTCTATACAAGATGCAGCAGATGCCAAAGAAATAATCAAGAGCTGCTAAGGCTGTAGTGGGATGAATACTTCAAGCTAGCATGAAAAAATGAAGAAAAAACCCACCCCCAAAACAGTGCTTTCTTCATTCTGCCTTAGCTGTTTTGATTCCTCATTTTCGCACCATTCCCTCTCTGGTGCCAGAATCTCTGTTTATGCAGCTACAGAGTGATCCGGCAGCTTGTCCTGCTGGAAACCAACTTCTCTTTTTGCAATGTCTGAGGAATTGATCTGGGTTAGACTGCTTTTTAGGCAGTAGAAATAGCTCATGATACTTGTGAAACATCCTAGATCCTCTCAAATTAAAAGGCCTACCAAAAAAAAAAAAAAAAGGGTACCAATGCCATTAAAGGCAATGATTTATCTTGTAACAGCCAGGTCTGGTGCCCTTCACACACAGTCTCTGCCTCATGGTCCTCAACACCATCTCTCCTCTGGATTTGGCTGCAAAGCGTCAATGAGAAGTCCCATGCTACCAACTTCGCATGGTTTATACAGAAATATTCCTCACTACTTTTAAGTAATGTCCTGCTTGAGAGCCATTAGGGAGAACAAAGGTCTGGCATATATAATGAAAGATGGTCATGTCAGCAGCTAGAGTTGCCTCCTCCTGAAAGAGCCTAAATAAAGCAGCAAATCGCTTCCAACGTAAAACACAATTCCAGTAAAATTCAGTAAAATGACTCCTACATTTGTTTTTACAGGACTCCTGGCCACCCTACAAACCTTCCACATTAAGGAGATGAGCCTGTCCCTCAAAGGGTCCATAATGGAGGTCATCTAGGGTGTTAAGCAGAAGTTTTCCTCCATTTTCTTCACTGCAGCATGACACGCTGATGAATTATATCACTGTGGCAAGGGCTTAATGGTATCTTCTGCTACCCTAATGGAGGGTCAGAGATGCTATTTTTAACACAGTGTGTCAGACCATTACAGTTTCTTCCATCATTCTGAATATGGCATAAGGTTAAGTAAACTATGATAATATATTGCTACATGCTTAACACAACACTTCCCAGAAAGCGATGAAGGGCAGAGATGGTCCATCGAGAGGTAATCACAGTGAATCAAACAAAACATCACACTCTTCATGCAATCCAACATCAAATGCATCATAACTACAGAAGTAATTTTGAAAGAAAAAAAGATCAGAAGAGCTAATAGGATGTAGTTTTAACTATCAAATAAACAGAATCTTGAAATAGTTTATATCCTGAAGTAGGAAAAAAGCAAGATAAAGATTTGTACTGGCAGATTAGCGCAACGTTGCAACAATATCCCAAATCTAATCCACAGTGGCAATACCATTAGATCGTCTACCACACACAACGTCCTCTACATATTTAGATTACCAATACCCAAGACAGAGATAACAGTTGCATCGATATTTTATTGTGGTCTTTGAAACAATTACTTCAGTTCTATTAATATTTAATAGCATTTGTGTTTATAGAACAGCCAGAAAGACAGGTAACTGCTATTTTATAGAAGTATACTATAAAGTGTTAAGTTAACTGAAAAATCAGGAAAGATACTTCAGTCACTGTTCTGTCCTGCTAATTTCTGTTGTAGGGAGATACGCACCCCCCTAAGCCGGGGCCATTCAGACCCGCGGAAGCCACAATGGTAACGACAACGAGCAGGCAGCTGCCCGGCCACTACTGCACGTATCATTAAAGGTGTGCAGAGCACACCGTGGACGGCCAGTGTCAATGGGAAAGGACCTTACTGTCTGCCTGTGAACCCAGCCTTTGGTGGACAGACGCAAAAAAGAGGCTCTTTGACAGAATGGTGGTGGGTCAAAGGCGGGGGGTGCTGAAAACCCTGACGAGGAGCGATACTGCCACTCTGGTTTCATTTTGGACGGGTAGAGCGGCTAAAGGAGTACCCCAAGAGCAGCGTCAGGACTAGAAATCCTAGAAGGCGTTGCTGCTACTCCTAATTCACTGTGGGCGAAACGGCTGACAGAAGGGTGTGAGGCAGGGACGGCGGGTGGAAATCCTCTTGACAGGCTGTACTGCCTTCTCAGCCTCATCGCAGACAGGTGGAGCAGTCACCTTCTGCCTCCACGGTGCCCACAAACCCCTGCACGATCATTTATTCAGCCTTCGTTCTCTAGCAAGTAGATGCCATAATTCATGGTAAAACTTCTCCTTAGTACGTAGACCAGATTCTTCTTTCTGTGCCCCAAACTGTTTCCCAAGACTCTAGATTATCCCCTTCCTTCATATACATTGATTTGTAACTCTTACAGATTGTACTCACGTTCCCCAGTGAGCATTTTCTTCTACGCTCTTTAATTATCAAATGAGTCCAGGGAGGAGTTCCAGAGTATTATCCTGCAGGGCATACACCGCATAAAAACCGCCAGGAGTGGAAAATGCTACCCAACAGATTATTCTGGTAAATGGAAGAAAAATAATCTCAAAATTCTGGACACAGTTAGGAGCTTGGCAACTGCACGAGCTGCTCTGCTCCCAAACGTTCAGTGAAGAAAATGCTGAGAGTATGAAAGCCCATGCATGACACAGAAGTTCCCTGCAAATGTTAACTCTTTAACACACACAGCAGCGGTTATGAAGCGGTGACTTCAAAGGAATCATCAAGTAAAATGATCAAAGGCACTAAAAGATTCAGACTCAAATGTTAACAGGCACACAGGTTCTTAAGGATACAAAAAGGTCTGTCTTCTTGCAGACAGTCAGGATATCCCACAGATTACTCTTCCAAACAAACCTAGATATTGCTGGTACTCACAATGCCGGTACCATAATGTTAAGTGGCAATGACTGGCTGTTGTTACTACCAGTGCCTCCCATCCTTGCTTGTGATCTCTTAGCTTTCCTCCCAGGCCACCTGAATGGAGCTATGCTCTGATCTCCCACATTATCAACATTTAAACCAGATTCTTACACATTCTTAACAACTCCCTCCAAACTCTCTTTTTTTTCCACATGCATTCTTCATGAACAGCATTTAAAGCCACGACTGTGATCCTCCAAGCCCACGCTGGGATCCTTTCTCACCTGGAATCCACACAAACTGTTTTCACCCAAATCTCTCCTCCTTCATTCTTTTCTTCAACCACCAGGCACTATCAGGACTAAGCATCTTTATCTCCATGACACTTTCAACACTTCTTTCTACAGCTGTTCTTCTTTCACATTATGTGGGAATCTGTGCAGAGCTCTGTACCCTATGCTCTGCTTCCCAGTAAAGCAATTTACTTGGTCATTCATGAACTTTCTCTGTTTCACGTTGAGTATGAGCCCAAAACTTTCAAATGCTTCATGAACGATAAAAAAGAAAAGGGAAAAGCCTACTCCCTCCCCGAAGACAGGCATGTGTACCACAGCCACCTTCACCTGAGCTCAGGGAAACAAAAAAAGATGCTGGCACCCGAGACGTGCAGGCACAGACTCGTGCTCTGCATTCTCCTGCGCCTCACCGGCACGGAGTGATGGAGATGGTCGTTTCTGGTCCTCAGACTTTCTAACTCTAAACACAAACTCCACCGCGGCCCTAACCTCCCCCACTCCGCCTT